GTTGGGGGTTTTTGGGTTTTGGGTGTTTTGGTAGTTTTTGTGGAAGTAAGGGTGTTGTGTGTGGGAGGGGGTTTTGGGGTGGTTTTGGGGGGTGTTTTTGGGTGGGTGTGAGGGTTTGTGGTTGTTTGGGGGTTTTGGTAGTGGGGGTATGGAAGTGGGTGTTTTGGGGTTTGTTGTAGAGGGTGTGTGAAAATGGGGGTGTTGGTGGGGGTGGAAGTGGGGGGGTTTTTTTTTTGGTGGGGTGGGGGGGGAGGGGGGGGTGGGGTGGGGGGGGGGGTGGGGTGGGGGGTTGGGGGGGGATGGGGGGGGGGGGTGTGGTGTGGGGGGTTTCGTGGGGGGGGAAAGGGGGGGGGGTGTTGGGGTTGGGGGGGGGGGGTTGTGGGTGGGGGGGGTGGGGGGGTTTTTTGGGGTTGGGGGGTGTGGGTAGGGTGTGTGTAGTTTTTGGGGGGGTGTTGTAGTGGGGGGGGGTTTGGGGGGGTGTAGTGAGGGGGGTGGTTTAGTGGGGGTGTTGTAGAGGGGTTTTGGGAGTGGTGGGGTGATAGTGAGGGTGGTGGGAGTGGGGGTGTGATAGGGGGGTGTGTGGTTTGTGGTGGGGTTTTAGTGGGGTTTTTTGGGGGGGGTGGGTGGTTGTGGGTGTGTTTGTGGGGGGGTGTGGGAGGGTGTGTTTTTGGGGGTGGGGGGGAGGGTGTTGTTTGTGGGGGGGGTGGTTTGGGGGGGTGTGATAGTGGGGTGGTGGTAGGGGTTGTGTGGAGGGGGTTTTTGTGTTGGATTTTGTGGGGTGGTTGGGTTTTGGGGTGTTGTTGTGGGGGGGTGGTAGTGGGGGGGGGGGGGGGGGGGGGGGGGGGGGGGGGGGGGGGGGGGGGGGGGGGGGGGGGGGGGGGGGGGGGGGGGGGGGGGGGGGGGGGGGGGGGGGGGGGGGGGGGGGGGGGGGGGGGGGGGGGGGGGGGGGGGGGGGGGGGGGGGGGGGGGGGGGGGGGGGGGGGGGGGGGGGGGGGGGGGGGGGGGGGGGGGGGGGGGGGGGGGGGGGGGGGGGGGGGGGGGGGGGGGGGGGGGGGGGGGGGGGGGGGGGGGGGGGGGGGGGGGGGGGGGGGGGGGGGGGGGGGGGGGGGGGGGGGGGGGGGGGGGGGGGGGGGGGGGGGGGGGGGGGGGGGGGGGGGGGGGGGGGGGGGGGGGGGGGGGGGGGGGGGGGGGGGGGGGGGGGGGGGGGGGGGGGGGGGGGGGGGGGGGGGGGGGGGGGGGGGGGGGGGGGGGGGGGGGTGTGTTTGGGAGTGGGGTGTTGTATAGTAGAGGGTTTTGTGGTAGTGGTGGGGGTGTAGTAGAGGGTGGTGTGGTAGTGGTGTGTGATAGTAGAGGGTGTGTGTGTAGTGGTGTGTGTGTAGTGGGGTGTGTGGTAGTGGTGGGGTGTAGTGAGGGTGTGTGGTGTGGTGTGGTTTTGGTTGGTTAGTGAGGGTGTGTGGTAGTGGTGGGGTTTTTAGTGAGGGTGTGTTGGTGTGGTGTGTGTGGTAGTGGTGTGTGGTAGTGGTGTGTTGATTGGAGGGTGTGTGTAGTGGTGTGTGGTATGGTGTGTGATGTTTTGGGGTGTGTAGGTAGTGGGTGTGGTGGTTGTGGTGTGTGTGGTAGTGGGTGTGTTGTAGTGGGGTGTGTTGGGGGGTGGTGGGTGGGTGTAGTAGAGGGTGTGTGGTAGTGGTGTTGTTGATAGTAGAGGGGTGTGGGTTTAGTGGTTGGTAGGGGGGTGATAGGTAGTGGTGTGTGGTAGTGGGTGTGGGAGTTGGGGGGTGATAGTAGAGGGTTTTGTTGGGAGTGGTGTGTGGGGTAGTTGAGGGTGGTGGTAGTGGTGTGTGATGTAGGGTGGGAGGGTGGGGGTTGTGGTAGTGGGGTGTGGTGGTTTGTATGTGGGGTGGTGGTAGTGGGGGTGGAGTGGGTGTGATAGTAGAGGTGGGGTAGTGGTGTGTGATAGTAGAGGGTGTGTTGGGAGTGGTTTTGGGTGTGGGGGGTGTGGTTGGGGTGGATTAGGGGTGGTGGTAGTGGTGTGTGAAAATAGAGGGTGTGTGGTAGTGGTGGTGATAGTAGGGGTGTTGGAGTGGGTGTGATAGTGAGGGTGTGTGGTTGTGGTGTGTGGGGAAGGGTGTGTGGTGTGGTGTGGAAAAGTAGAGGGTGTGTGGTAGTGGGGTGTGGAGTAGGGGTGTGTGGTTAGGGGGTGTTGATAGTAGGGGTGTGTTGGGTAGTGGTGTGTGTAGTTGGGTGTGTGTGGTAGTGGGTGTGATGTGAGGGTGTGTGGAGTGGTTTTGTGTAGTAGGGGGTGTGGGTAGTGGTGTGTGGGTTTTGGGGGTGTGTTTGTGTGTAGAGGGTGTGTGGGTTGTTTGGGGGTTTGGGGTTTTATGTAGAGGGTGTGTGGTAGGGGGGGTGTGGGGGGTGTGGTGTGGGGGTTTATAGTAGAGGGGTGTGTGGTAGTGGTGGGGGTGGGGGGTTGTGGGGGTGTGTGGTGGGTGTGTGATTAGAGGGGTGTGTGGTAGTGGTGTGTGATAGTTAGAGGGGGTTGTGGTAGTGGTGTGTGTGGTTGTAGAGGGTGTGGGGAGTGGTGTGTGTAGTAGAGGCGTTGTGTGGTATTGGTGTGTGAGTAGAAGAGGGTGGTGTGTGGCTGTGGTGCTGTCGCTGTAGTGGTGTGTGATAGTAGGGGTTGTGTGGTAGTAGGTGTGTGATAGTAGAGGCGGTGCTTTTGGTAGTGGTGTGTGATAGTACGAGCGGTGTGTGGTAGTGGTGGGTTGATATGTAGAGGGTGTGTGTAGTGGTGTGTGATAGTAGAGGGTGTGTCCCCGGTAGTGCTGTCGTGCCCCGCCCCGCGTTAGTGGTGTCGTGATAGTACGCAGGGCCTGTCGTCGGTAGTGGTGTTGTGATAGTATGAGGCGTGCTGTGGTAGGTGGTGTGTGGTGTAGTGGGATGTGTGTAGGGGGTGTGATGTGATAGTAGAGGGTGTGTGGTTGTGGTTTGTCCTGTGATAGTAGTTGAGGGTGGTGTGGTGTGGTGTGTTGATAGTAGAGGGTGTGTCGGTAGTGGTGTGTGTGGATACTGTAGCGGGTGTGTGGTAGTGGTGTGTGATAGTAGTGGTGTGTGTGTAGTGGTTGTGTGATAGTAGAGGGTGTGTTGGTAAGTGGGGTGTGATAGTAAGCTGCGGCATGTGTGTGTGGTAGTCGGTATGTGTGCTGTGATTGTAGAGGTGTGGGTTTGTGGGGTGGGAATAGTAGTGGGGTGTGGGTGGGTTAAAGTTGGTGCTGGGATTGTAGAGGGTGTGTGGTTAGGGGTGTTGTGTGATTGTTGAGGGTGTGTTGGTGTGGTTTGTGTGTGTTGTAGAGGGTAGTTGGTAGTGGTGTGTGGTAGTAGAGGGTGTGTGGTCCTGTGGCTGTGGATAGTAGAGGGTGTTGTGGTAGTGGGTGTGTGATAGTAGAGGGTGTGTGGTAGTGGTGTGTGGATATAGTAGGGGTGTGTGGTAGTGGTGGGTGTGTTAGTAGAGGTGTGTGGTAGTGGTGTGTGAATAGTAGAGGGTGTGTGGTAGTGCGTGGGTGTGATAGTAGATGGGTGTGTGGTATGGGGTGTGTGCTTAGTAGAGGGTGTACTGTGGTAGCTGGTTGTGTGGTAGTAGAGGGTGTGTGGTAGTGCTGGTAGATGGTGGGTGTGGTAGTCGAGGGATGCGTGTGGTTGTGGTGTGTGATAGTTGAGGGTGTGTGGTAGTGGTGTGTGATAGTACGAGGGTGTGTGGTAAGTGGTGTGTGATAGTAGAGGGTGTGTGGTAGTGGTTGTGATGGTATAGTAGAGGGTGTGTCGGCTAGTGGTGTGTGATAGATAGAGGGGTGTGTGGTAGTGCGTGTGTGATCGTATGAGGTGTGTGGTAGTGGTGTTGTGATAGAGAGGGTGTGTGGTAGTGAGTCCGGGTGTGATAGTAGAGGGTGTGTCGGTAGTGGTGTGTGGATTAGTAGAGGGATGTTTGTGGTAGGGTTGGGTGTGATAGTAGGGGTGTGTGGTAGTGGTGTGTGATCCCTCCCCGTCTCGTGCCCCCGCGTGTGTGGTAGTGGTGTGTGGTCAGTGGTGTGTGATAGATGAGGGGATGGTGGTATAGTGGTGTGTGATAGTAGAGGGTGTGTGGTAGTGGTGTGTGATAGAAGTGAGGGATTGTGTGGTAGTGGTTGTGATAGTAGAGGGTGTGTTGGTAGTGGTGTGTGATAGTAGAGGTATGTGTGGTAGTGGT